CATATCCACCGATCTGCGGAATTAACAAAATTCGTCTAAATTAAGGAATTTGACAATAATTTAATAAAAATTAGGTAAATTAAGTTTTGCAAAAATGATCACACTTGTGTTACATGATCATATGACAGATATTAAGAAATTACTTCAACAAAAAGTAGCGTTAAAAAAATTTTTTTCTTTCGTAAACTCCCTATTAAACTCCCCATCAACTTCCCCATCAACTTTTCAAACAGTTTTTACATCAAGTAAGTTAAGAATTTTTGCAAGTATATTTGTAATTATTTTATATTAGATACAACTTGGAGCTGTTTTTTTATTTTTTTTTTTATAGTTTATAGAAAAAATTTATTTAGAAAGCAAAATTATTCAAAAAAAATCTTTTCAATAAATAAATAACTCTAAATATTAATAATGATGTTTTAGCGAATTTAGATTATGTATTGATTAGTTGTTTAATTAAAATCTATTTGATATTTATTATTAATTATTTTTCAGTTAATTTTTTTTCGTTAAATCATTAAATATTCTGAATTTTGTAAAGTTTTTCTTTTGTTTTTTTTAATAAACTAACTTTATAATATTTTTTTCCTTTTTTTTCTAGAAACTTCTTTTACTGGCTTCGGATTAAAGAGGTAAATATTTTGGGAGAGATCTTAAAAGTTTTTTTATATATTTTTTGACATTTTTTCTTATGTAGGAACGGGTTTTGATCGATTTTAATCGGTACTGCACCACATAACTGATGATCGGCAAATTCCGCAAATCAGCGGATATGTTACTGAAGACTTCCTTTTTTTATTACTATAAATAGGCAAAGAGAGTAGTAATGGTTTTCTTCCTATAGGTACTTTATGGTCTTTATCTGTTTACAGAAGAGGAGCTTTTCGTAAAGTTTATTAGTTAGATATATATATACATCTATCCTATTTATATAAAATTATATATCACTTGTATAGTTATATTATGTGATATTACTTGATAATTACCACAGCTTAGCTGCAGTATAATAAAAAAAAAATTAAGCTTTTTTTAGCAAAACTTAATTTTTTTTCTTACGGTCTTTATTTCCACTTTTTTATCATTTCACCTTTTCTTTTTCTTTTTTCCTTTTTCCTTTCATTCTCCTCATCCCTTTTCATTTTATTTTTTTTTCCTTTTCGTTCTCTCCTTTTTTTTCATTTTATTTTCCTTTCCCTTTCATTTTTTTTATTCTATTTTTTTATTCTTTTTCATTTTCTCTTCTCTTTTCATTTTATTTTCTCTTTCTCTTTTTTTCTTCCTTTCTTTTTGTCCTTTTCCTTTTCATTTTCCCTTTTCTCTTTTCATTCTTCTTTTTCCCTTCCCTTTCACTTTTATTATAAATTAAAAATATTAGAAATTTCCTTTCAGAAAAATAAAAGAGTAAATTTTAAATCATTTATTAATTCAAAACTTTGATATTTTTTGAAAACATTTTAAAAATGAAACGGTAAGTTTTGAGGTGTTTACCTCAAAACTTTTTTTTAAAAAATCTTTTTAATTTTCTTTTTTTAGAAAACATTATATATACTATTAGTATACTATATTTTCATATTTTGCAAACAGTATATTTATAGTATTATTACATACTGTATATATTCAATATTTTACATACCCATATGGGAGGACCCTGAACAATACTGATATAACTCACATTTGAGAATATTATATTATACTCTGGAAGGAATGGTCATCCGTATAAGACCTCATCACACATGTCACAACACCCTAGAGTGGTCAGCACCATATAGGATACTAACATCAGTGGGTTGTCATATAGTACATCCTGAAACCATCTTGGGCCAAGACCTAATCCTATATGGCCTTCTCTACTAACCATTCACCCACTGTAAGGTAGCCTCTAGCCAGTATATTTTTGTCAAGAGTTCTCCAGCTAATGGTACAGTAGTGGTTTTCGTGATATCGAGTAACCTTCTATACCACCATCTTAGGTACTAGGTCTCACTTAAAGGCCACTACAGCCCGTGATTACTTACTACCGATGGTACAGTTGTGAACCCCTAGTGGTAGTTGTGAAGGTACACTAACACAAACTATAAACTATAACCACCAGGACAGGAAACCTCAAGGAATCTCCAGGATCACCTTTTTATAGTGGCTACCATACCACCAAGGATCACCAACCAGAAGCCGAATACGGTGGGAAATAGAACTCCATACCTATCCCCAATACTATTGGTTCAGGAATATACAGGTTGGTCTAAACCTATTAGAAGGTAAACTACCATGAAAACATTGTTACCATTTATAAAACTCTTTCCCGAATACATTTTTTACAAAAATTTCTGCGTAATAATTTTTTAAAAAAAATAATCCCCTTTATTAAATTTTATTACATAAAAATAAAAAATGTCTATGGATAAGAGCCGAACATCGAACAAAGAAGCTTTAGACTTCGTTTCCAAGTTTAACGAAATTTATTTTCAAACTTTTACACACCACTTAAGTTCTTTTGTACAGGACGGTTTCCTCAAGGACTTATTTGAAAAAAACCCCTCAGTACCTAAGGATAAAGCCCAGATACTGATAGAGCGGTTTGGCAAAACAGCCAACCCTGCGAACTTCACTTCACAAGCCCAAGCTATGAATATACAACCCACCATCCTTTCGCTAATATTTTCTATAGCGCTATATGCTGCGTCCAGGTCTTGAGATAATTTTTCACACCAATTCCTTTGCAATTTTGGCGATATGGGTGATGACGATGATGACGATGATGATGAATCTCAGAATACTGATGATTATCTGATGGATGCATCACATATGCCGCTTGATGAAGATGATCTTTTACGCCAAGGATTCCAAAAACCACCAGATTCAGTACCTATTAAGCTTCCATCAATGCCTGATATAGTAATGACCCCGGTTGATCCTCCTGTAATACCCGAAAACTCCCAGAAGAAAGATAAATAAAGGCGCGTGTTACAGATGATAAACAAGTCGCGAACCAATCAACAAAGGCAAAACCTGATGTGAAAACATCAGCCAAAAATTCCCATAAGGGAAAGAAATCATCTGAACTGGAGGCTACACAGATACTGACAGGATACGAAGCTGTCGGAGAGGAGCAAGAGCGAATCTGAGATATAATAGTTTACGATATCCCGTATACCTGGGACCTGCAGAAAATACTAGCAGAGTTAAAACTTTGGGGGAACGCTATTAAATGTTCCATTAAACGGCAACATAAGTATCAGACTCTTCAAGTCAAAATAGCACTTTCCTCTTTTGCCCTTTCCCAGTTTAATAAATATTGGACGACAGACCTGGGAGGTATACCTGTTAGATGGTTCCCTGCAAGTTGGACTTTACGAGAAAGAAAACAACGTGAAAAGTTCCAAGCCGTTATTCATGACATTCCGGAGGATATGACGATGGCTACCTTGTGGATGGACTGTAAACCATGTGAACTTTTAATGAAGTGCAGTGCTAGCTCATTTAAAGTAATTCAAACAAGTAAAGGAAGGAGGAAACTAGTGGCCTATTTTGAGAATTGGGAGACCACACTAAGGGCCTTAGATACGCCACAGTTTTTCGTACCTGATGGTAAGGAGTTAAAATGGTGTCGACACTCCATTCCTACCTTNCGGCAGAGTTTCGGCAGTTTCGGCATTTATAATAAGTTTCGGCAGTTTCGCCTTTCTCCAAAGTTTCGCCAGTTTTTTAATATAACTTTAATATAGTTTCGGCAGAATTTCGCTTTTCAGCGAAATGCCATCTTGCCTAAACCCTAGGTTTCGGCAAGCAACCTTAATTGGGAGACCACACTAAGGGCCTTAGATACGCCACAGTTTTTCGTACCTGATGGTAAGGAGTTAAAATGGTGTCGACACTCCATTCCTACCTTGAAGAAAACACACAATAAACTGAAGACTAAAAATACACCGAGTACGAAAAAGTCAGGTAAGTCTGATCAAAATTTGGAAAGTAAACAGCCTAAGAAGAAGGATAAACCTACATCTTCAAAGAAAGTCCCAAAAAATAATAACCAGAAGGAGAAACACCCAAAAAATCAGAAGAAGGCAAAGAATACCTCGAAGATTAAGGGTGGTAATAAAGATAACAAGGTGGTTTTAGCAGAGATTTTAACTTTATTACAGAAACTAGTTTAGTTTATGCTTTAATTAGCGGTTTTACAAATTTCAGAATTGTATTATTTTTTAGGATAGAATAGATTTATGTGTATGCACCACAATTTCTTGGAAAGGGGACTTGTCCTCTCCACTTTTTTTTCCCCCCCTATTTTTCACCCAGTGTGTTCTTCTGGATTATTATCGGTAGTGGTAATAGTGCAGGTCTTTTATTTTCAGGAAGTTCAGGTTGGGCTCCAGCTCCTCTGGAATTCGATGGTAGGCTTTAGTTGGGTTGTATTACTTCAGAATCATGCTCAGTTTTATAGTCCCTGCCGGCTTTACATAAAATAAATAAAATAAATAAATATTGTTACCATTTATGGTACCCATCTAGCACGACAAACTCCACACAGTAAAGCTTGTCACACTCTTAGTGGTATAGTTCTTACCAGTGATCACTAAGACAAGACACCACCCCTAAGGTATGCAAGCAGTGACCTCAAATACAGGACACTGAACCTACCAATGACCTCTTAGGGAACGTAAAAAGGACATCAAGGCTCTTTGTTAAAATATGCGGCTGTTACCATACATACTAATACACCAAAATGCAATCCAATCCAACTAATCCCTATACCTTTATGCTTTTGGTAGTAAAAATTCGTTTTATTTCTATAATCAGTGGAATTGAACCTGGAACTA